TGATCACAACTATGATCACATTTAGTCCGACCACGAATGCATCATGCGATCTCTAGCCTTACTGTCACTCACGTTTAGCTCAAATAGCTTTGCGATAGCTCATCATGGTTCTAGAAGCATAGAATTATGCCTCATTCCCATGTTCCAAACATCCTCTCACACAATACTTCAATTTATCATTCTAATTCACATGCACAACTACATTCCAAGATACTAAAAATTGTCACTCTTGTATATATGAAACAAGTTTCTACACATGAGTTATCTAAACTTGCTTTAAAAACTCTTCACTAACTCTCTATATAAACTATCTTAGAAGTTACCATAGTAACAAATGGTAATTTTTATTTAACTTATTGTTACAAAGATACACTTTAGTAAATTTGATTAGTTATCAATATGTGACAACATGTCATTGGTCTCCTAAATCTTCTAGATATTTATTAATGTCTAGATTGAGGTGACGACATGTTATTGTGCATTTCCAATATCTAGAATCTTCACTTGCCACTAAGTCAACATTAGATTTAGTTTAGCCAATGAAGTATTCATTATTTAGTCAGACCAATTAAAACTAAACATGAAATTAGAAGTATTTTTTTCTTGAAATCAAGACTTTTGTATAAGATCAAATAGAAATGCTAACTCAAATTTTCTAGAACTTTTCTAGTTATTGTGCCAAGTATAAATATTATAGCATAACATAGTTATAACTTGATAAACTTAGTTATAAATAGCTAGACTCAGTCATAACTAAACTAACCAAGATTATTTCTTTGGCTAGTTCTAATCCTATTTCACACATAAAACATTCGGTATTACAGTCCACGCCTACCACGTTTGCCTCAACCACGTTCGTCCCTACCGACTACGTCCGTGTCGATCACGTTTGGGAATTAAGGATTTGTTTTTCTGGCCGTGATCTACGTGGGGGGTTAGGAAATCGCGTGCCGCTCGCACGCTCAACCTGCGCGGATCACACGTCAACGGCGGATGTCAACCTGCAAAAGAGTTAAACTTGCACGTCTTTCGCAACGACCTGAGCTCGTCTCGACTTCAGCTCTTACGCACGTCCCATGCACTCTCCATCAAAAAACCTTCTGCCAATTTTTCTCGCTCGTCGAGTTACAGCCAAACCTACAGATCCACAACAAAAAGGAAAAACAACACTTTCGCACAAGTTTCTCTCTGAATTTTGCCTATGCTCCCAACTGATTTCAATTTGCTGATTTCTTGTCGACTTTGAAGAAAAAATTCTAGTCAAATTTTGTTATCTAACTCAAATATCCTCGACATTTCTAAATGTCTAGCATGCATTTCGGTCCGAATTGCATTCTCCCCTCCTCTGGAAATCAAGAAATTGCAGGTCGTGTTGATTTCATATTCACCGGTTGGTCGCGTCAAAACTTGGACCAATCAAGACTATGCTTAACCTTTTGCGTGCCAGTGTAATCACTTTGTTTCGAACAAAAAAACTGACAATATGTCTCAAAAAACCGTCATTTTGTCTCTTAAAAATCTGCACAAGATCTTTGAGGTAGCTCAAAGTTGGAAACTCCAAATCATTATGAGTTCGGAAATCTCTCGAACAATTTTACTGCAAGAAACAAAAAACGTCAACAGATGCTTTCATTCAAAAAACCGTGACTTTTGTTAGCAACTTCAAAAACGGAAAACCATCAAGAATAAAAAAAACATCATTGTCGAAAAGCTTGCTCTGTTACCAATTGATAACCAAAATTCATTGATGCGCTCATTGTTCACCCTCAAAGGCTACGTTCACGAAGGAATAGAAGCGAAAGATTTTGCTGCTCAGGTGAAAGCACAACAATACGTGCAATTTGAAGCATCATGATATATATATATATATATATATATACCCAACACAAGCGACCAATCTCAGTTATAAATAGCTACACATGAGGTTACTCCTTAACTGAAGTTAATTTTAACATGCACTCATACCACGATTTATACTCCGCAACAAAATGTTATTTCTCAGAAGCTCAATCAAAGAGAATATGCGTAATGTGCTGAGCCAATCAACTTTACCATATCAATCTAGACTAAAGTTCTCACAACGCAGTATATTTGATAAATCTTTTTTCTTCTTATGCAATCAATTAATCAAAAACTTCATAGATATTTATATCTATGGATTTCATTTGAATCTCACAAAGTTTACATTTTTTGATTAAATTTTTGTTCTAATGTACTGCTTGAGAAAGATGACACATTTTGTGACTTAAAACAAGATTATCATAAATGGAAAAACAACATAAATATACTTGAAAATTGAGCTTGAATATCATGAAATTTTCAACGACATTATCTTTGATGTGATATAAAATTCATAAGCAAATTATGGAATTTTTTGTTCAAAATCTTACACGTGAAGATCAATACATCCTTAGTTGGTTGTGCAAATTGAAGGAGTGAATGAAGTATTGAAAAAGTATTTAAGATGTTTCATTAACAATTATGAAGAAAATCAAATGAAAATTATTCAAGTCACAAAGTTTGACTACAATAATATATTTCAAGAGCTCATTCACCAATCTTTTTTCTTTGCAAATTATGAATATCATCCACAATTTGACTCTTGAGTTGAACTTGAGTTCAATAAAGAACTTAGTACTACAAGATCTTATTGCTAGACTTTTGGAAATCTATAAAAACATGAAGTCAAAGTGTGTAGAAGCTCAAGAGTGGAAAACACTTATTGCAGACCAATCTTGAAAAAAATAAATTAAATATGTCAATTGGATTAAAAGTTCAAATTCTACGTCGCAATTTAAAGATTTGTCAACCTAACTTCTATTATCTTCTTGGAACTTTTTTTGTACGTAAGCAGGTCGACTAGAGGAAGCATATAGATTGGTTTTTCCATCATCTATGAAAATTTATTTAGTGTTTCATGTTTGTTTGTTTGAGAATCAACAATTTGAGTATAGTTGTCAGCATCTCCGTCAACAATCGATATTAACGAGGAAGAAGAATTTGAAGTTCATGAAATACTCAACTCCCACATCAATACAAAAAAATTAGATTACCTTTACATTGGCAGGGCTATGAACTAAACAAGTAAACTTGAAAACACGTTCCCATTCTTGATAACAATCTCAAAATGAAAAATAATAATTTATTGTCCAAACCTGAGAAATTTGAATTCAAAAGATGTTTGAATCAAACACGTATTAACCAACATTAGCACACAATCAAACTTTAGCCATATGATCAGCACATGAATTTCTTGTAATAGAGTTTTAGTTTTTATTTTTTACAAATACAAATTGAACAACTTGTGGAACTCGTTTCTTGAAAAGAGGTGATGTCAGTATCGGATCGGATGTCTCCGAAGGGACAATTATTTTTTTGTAGTATACTAGTAGTGGTGCCGGCGCCTTGACAACCATCTCTTATAAAATATTTAAAGTTCTACTAGCAATGGCGATGACTTGGGCTTTCTTGGAATAAATATATAAATAAATAAATATAAATATATATATATATATATATTCATTCACTTTCGTAACACCAATTGTATACTTCTATTGTTTTCATGAAATCAAACTTACTTTAACCTTGATCATGTTTTGGTTGAAGGTATTACTTCAATTCTCATTTTTGTTTGATCCAAAAGTTGATTCCACAATATGTTTGAATGAATGTTTTTTATTTCATGATTATTTTTTATATTTGATGAAATATAGAATATCAAAACACAAAAATTTAAACAAATTTATCATGAATACTATATGAAACATAGATTCTTTTTAATGGTAAAAAAAATATGATATTATAATACTACTTTATCAATAATTGTAATGCCAACACATCAATAATTCATAATATATATAATTGTGGATTAAATCAAAATCTATGGATAATGTGATGATTTGAAAAAGTGTATTTTCATTTTTATATTATAGAGGTATTAAACTTTAAAAAAATTTAAATTTTTTTTCAAAATTAATTATATATTTTTGAATATTGAAGTAATAAATTAAAATGTATGTTAAAATTAAATATCAAATTGATAATTAAACCAACAACTGCACTTCAGAATGTTAACACAAACAAGTTTTAGATTGACAATATTTATTTGTAATTCACTTCAATGATATCACAGTAAAAATCATTCATCACATAAATGATGTAAATTTCATTTTTACATCTGATTAACTTTTTCTATCTATAATAATCGCTTTATCATTGGTGTATTGGAATTTATTGATAACATTGAATTTAAATTTATCACACATTTTACAAGTAAATGATTATTTGATTAGAACATTAGTAAATAATTAGTAATAATAATAATCTAAACGATAATTATTTAATTACAATCGTAATTTGGAAATTTCTATGAATATGTGTGATATATATAGATCTTAATACATAACAATATGTATTGCGATAAAAGAATGTGAATATTTATTGCATATAATATGATATTATACTTGAATAAATATCCTACATATATAGATTTATTCAAATCAAAGTATAATTAACATGTTGACGAGCATTGATGAGCAAGTCCCAGTGTTGACTGAAACATTAAAGCCCGTGTAGTAAGAGACTACAATGTATTATTTTTCATAAGTTCTCTTTGAAGTAAGTATGAATCATGTCACAACGAAGAGCGCGACTATTACACCTCTTTGACCTTTTCGGCTCAACTGATCATGAGCATTCTCAAAGATAAAATTTGAAGCATTGGAGACGGGACAATTCTGTAGCAGCGAGTCTTGCGAGTTTGATCAGAAAAGAACCTTCGGCATGACGCCCGTCAAACATTCCCTCGAGCACGTCTTATGCCAGTATTTCAGTTTCAGCGTCTGATACCCGAATTAAAAAATCTTATCTCGTACACAGTACAGAGGTTCATAATTTACATTGACTTGCATGGGAACAAAATGGTTCTTTGAACAGTCATTGACTTCAATGATTAGAATTGATCGTAACAGCTGCAGAAGAGCATGCACATCAGGTAGAGATAATTGAATTAGAGTGATTGGAAGTGTGGCTTTTGGCCAATGTAGATATCTCCTGGAATGCAAGTAACTTTAGAATCTCATGGAAGAAGAGCACAAACGTTTTGTGGGTTCTCCATCCGTCTAATGTCCTCTGAATGACTGGCCGAGCCATTTGGAAAAGTGCTAAGAATGTAGTACTCCGAGTGCCGAAGCCTGCAGAGACCAGGAATCTCAAGGCGCAATTCTTCATCGTTCATAATAAAAGCTTAAGCAAACTGGAGTGGTTCTGGCAGTGAGCCTACTCATAAGCCAAGCTTACTGGAGAGCTTCTGAGAGGGAGCTGATTCAGCTCGGTGACACTCTGTTCCTTGCTTGTGCATCTAAAGGTCTAAATCTAAATGTAATCCAACTCCTTCGGAAGATTGGATGTCGTTGTCCAGGCTAGAAGAGCCCGGGCTTATACCACCATGATATTGGTGAAAGAATGGTTTGAATGTAGGCTAATCTTTAAAGTCTAAACTATCTGCACCCAAACGGCACGGCTGGGAACTCCATTGTTGTTGGCGAAGAGCATGTAGTAGCTGCGAGGAGCGATGGTTGCAGTGGGAGGGGCTGTCACCGCCAGAGTGTACTGATTACCCACACCATTGCTATTGACTGGCGCGGTCACAGCGAGTTTCAAGAGTCTCTGACCTTGCGCATAGCTGTGTGAAACAAAAGGTGTTGAAACCAGATTCATGTCAACCTGGGGAACACTGTCAGAGTCTACTTTCAAAAAGAGGGTGACATTGAACATCTGGCCGTAAGTAACTCGATGCGGGTAGGAAATAAATCTCGGCTGCTGAGAGGTGTATTCCTTATGCAGATATGGAGGATAAAACGCTTCTACTCTAAGCTCTGTGGGGAACTCGTTCTCGCTGTACACATAGTACCCGTGCGGATTGCTTCCGGCCAGAAGGATTCTTCCGTCTGGCAATAAATTAGCAGTAGCATGGTACACTCTGGGGATTGTAGTCGGAGCATATGAAGTGAATCGGGTGCCCGGGGCATTGTCTGGGAAGTAGGCAACCGGGCTGAAAGCCGGATTGGAAGAGCCGTCCCATCCTTGGGATCCATTCTGGGCACCATTGATGATGAGCACGTCTGCAGTGGGCAGCAGAATCATGTCCCCCATGCACCTCCTGAACGGCATCGTTTCCATAGCCCATGAAGGAGTTGCACTCGTGACTGTCATCCTGCCGCATGTTTTCGAGCAGCCCCACTGCTTGGCGGTATTCCTGTAGGAGCCCAACCTGGCGCCCCCGCAGACGAGCACCTCAACGCTGCTGTAGTTGTTGGCTGCATCCAAGGGCAGCATCACCGACGATCCGCCCGAGGGGTAGTTTCTCGGCTCGCCTGGAATTGTGGGATAGGTCCTGATTACAGAGTTGTTGGTGTAGTCGAGCAGAATCGAGTCTCGGTTCGCGAAGATGAACAGATTCCCGTCGGGCAGTAAGTGAACGTACGGGTAGAGATTGTCCTCCTCCCAGTTGCTGGTCTGGTTCAGAAAGGGCATGTAGTAGGTTCCTTCAGATGGCTTGCGAGGGAGAAATTCGTAGGTGAATGATCCTCTTCCCCCGATCACGATGACTCTGTTGTCTGGAAGCAGCTGGCTCGTTCCATACCAGCGATTGTTCAGCAGGCTCATGTCTGTGGACTCGGTCCAGTCGCACGTCTCACTGGCCAGGCATGGCTTGAAAGTGCGAACTTTCTTGAGTCCATCGCTATCACCTCCGGCGTGGAGCAAGGTTCCGTTGGCCAGGAACTGGGCTGTGGAGCACTGCGTATCGCTGAAGATCGACACGGGGCGCACGGCATTGGTGCTGGGATCGAAGACGACGGAGTGAGCTGTGCAGTCATGCGTGAGGTTCTGATCTCGGGGATTGTCACGGCAGTTCCCGCCGGGCAGAGCTATCTGAGATGGGCCGATGTTCGTCCTGTCGATGAGGATGACGGTGTTGAAGCGGGTCACGGCGCTGTGCATCGATGGAACTCCAGCATTATTGCTGAGGATTCTCCAACTTCCATTGCCGCTCAGCGGCTGAGCTTGAACCATGCAGGAAATGGAGCACTGCGAGAGAACGAGCAATCCGGTCAGGCATGCGATGATTCTGGGATCAGCCATTCTATCTCCAATTCGTTATGCTGTTGCCACCAGCTGCTTCCTGCTCGAATCTGGTTCAAAGCGAGGCTAAGGCTACTCCTCTATGCGAGATGGAAAACAGAACCTCTTTCAGCGTCACAGAGGCGAGCGCATGCTCTTGTATCTGCTCAACATCTTGGTGTTCAGATTTACAGTCCTTTCTTCCGTCTGACAGCAGACTCTGACCTGGTAATTTGGATCGAAAGTTCTCAGTTTATATCCAGATACTCCACAAGAAGATGACGATGATGATGATGGTGTCCCACAGAATCCAGCTATCCTCCCAGAACTCTAATTAATTAGATGCTGTTAGTGGAGCTTGACTAGGAAAATCAAACCAGCTGCTGCAGTAATGGAACAGCCGATCGACGCAGCACCAGTGAGGGACGAGAATGAGAATAGAGAAAACACTTTGACACAAAGACTCGCTGCGCATGGCTCGACCTCAAACCGAAGCCCAGCTGCAGTCTCTTGCAGACCACACGCAGCAGCAGTCAAGTTTGAAGTGCAGCACAATTGGTACTTCTTGTACACTTACAATTCTGCTTCCTGTACAGCGTCTGGGGGTGGGGTCTCCTACAAGAATCAGAATCTGTGCCGATAATTGCTACATCCTAGCAGGGATCACAAGCTCTGGAACCAAATGATCAGCATATTATGCCTGATTTGCGGAACAGGTGTTTTGGATTGGAGCTGCGTCATCAGTCCCTGTATGACCAGATTGCATCAAGAATTTTGACAGTGATACTATGATGCGAAAGATAGAGGACCAGCAAAGGAAACAGCTGTGTATTAACCAAACATTGCAGACTCTGAGAAGGCAGCTTTGGGATTTTGGAGAGTGTTGTGCTGGTGCTCCCAGTCGGTTCTGACGCACGGATCTTTTTGGAGAAGCAGTCAAAAGACCCAACTCGTTGTACCAAAGCCAGCTGCGAATGTATATTTCTAGTCATTTGCTTCATATTATGCCCTAATTTAGTCCATCACATCGGGTAGACCACAAAAACCCTCTCGGTTTCTTCCTTTCAAATATGGAATGAAGCTTTACAGTTCCATTTAAAGGCAAAATAAATTCCACACTTGCAGCATAAGGCTGGCTATAGTGTCGCTTTCGAACGTCGCCCGGTGGAAATCACCTTCAAAGGCTTCAACAACACGTGAATCAGTTCCTTTGACTCTCAGTTTCCTGCTTAATTCCGCAAATAATCATAAGCTGGAAGAAAGCTCAACTTTAAGGCAATAAGCTCCATGTTCACGGCGCAGTTCTCTGCATAACTGCTGTAAAATTGCTGGCATCAGTAAATATGGATGATCTAAATTTTGAACAAGTAGACCCAGTGAGAGCTTCCAATGAGAATTTATAATCTTTATCATGATAGAAACACGTCAAGGACATTTTATCACGCCATTCTGATATCGGTTAGGCCAATTCGAGATTGCAGGCTTCTCTCCAAAACTGGAGAAAATAAGCTGGAAAAGCTTTCCACTAGATGATGGTGAGCTACTGTAGAGTATTGGGAATTGCTGTCGTAAATGGAGACCATCCACTTGCTCGACCTGACACTTGGAGCGACTTTTTCTTGTCCATTCTTCTGCGCATTTAGATCCGGGCTTCTGCTCTCTTTCCATATCCATTGCTAGTGGTTTTACATAATGCAAGACTGCCAGGGTTACAGCCTCTTAAATCAACTGGGTTAGTGGAGCAGCTGCAGGAAAGAAAGCGTATAACTGGGCAAGTAGATGACGCTTGGATTGAATCTTGTCATTTCCAACATCGGAAAGCTACACTCTAATCAGTTTCTTCGATCTCTCGTCTCCAGTTAATGGGCGTGATCTGAAGGAGGCAGCCAGCAATGACGTGGGCCAATGACAGCAAGGGCATTTTCGCATTCCGATTTTTGCAGTTGTCTGAACTGCAGTCATCCATCCCCTCAGAGAATTTTCGAACCCATTCGAGACACAATTCCGAAGGCCGCTCTGCCGCCACAGACCAAGGACACGGTATCAATCGCCCGTTTACGAATCAGCTGTCTGCTGGGCGTCGTCAATAGCAACAGGTCTGCTCTTGGAGGGAGTGGTAGGACCGGGAAGTTCTCCTGTTGATAATCATGGACTGTCACCTCGCTGTAGTTGTGGGGCCTGTTCTTAAATAATTCACATAAGCCATCTAACGATCAACAGAAGCCAAGATGACAAATTTGAGGAGGGTGCCCCTCGAGGAGGATAGGGCTCCGATAGGGTCGGGTTTGACCTTCAACCCGAACCCGACCCGAAAAACCGGGTCGGCATTCGGGTAGAACCCGAATGTACCGGGGGATCCATGATCGTGAGGGGACGGCGAGGGAAAATCGGAAAATGGGGACTCCGTTGAATCTCACTGATTCGTATTGATAGATTCATGATGTATTCTCTTCAAATGAAGCCTGTGCTGCTCTGCTCAAATTGAACTCTGTCACGTTCGAATCATAATTCATCCAGGAATTGATGGATCCGTTGAATCTCACTGAAGATTCAAGTAATCTAAAAGAATTGTACCGACTTTCTTCCTTCGTGATTCCATACAGAATTTCAGTCCGCACCTGAGCTTTCGGAAATGCTTCTTTCTTTGACAGTTGCATTTCTTCGACCCTTGCATTCCTTCAAACACGGATTGAGCATTTTTAGCGGAAAGCCCTCTGGCTTTGGGCTGCGACGCAACGCTACGCACGCCCGCTTACGGAGACATCCCAGCAAGAAGAGGGTGCCCTGCTTCTTGGGGAGACACTGGGGCATAAATCTCTGTCACACTGAGAGACGAGTACTCGGGGAAAGAAAATCTAGACGCGTCGGGGAGATACCCCTTGCGCCCATGGGGAAGGTCTGCAGTCAGTCAAGGTGGAGACAACGTGAGAAGCGCGTTCCCTCAAATCCCAACAGGAATCTAGAGGCGTACGAGAATCCGGAAATTGGAGGAGGAGGCGATGATCAGAATTTTTCGAGGAGGCAGGACGAGCAGCATAGGTAGCGCAGCGCTGCCCAGATAGACACAGAAGCGAGCAAGGGAACGGGTGCCTGCATCGTATCGAGCGAGGTGCGCAGCAGGAGGTATGAAGAGGAGGACCTGTGCAAGACTCGAAAGGAGTAGCAGAGTTTTGCAAGACGGAACGGAAGCCGATGCACACGAGGACAGACCAGCTGAGGTTTATTATTTTTCGGGTTTCGGGTCGGGTACAGTCCTCTACCCAGATCCGACCCGAAATTGGGTTTTACGCGAACCTTATCGGAGCGGTAGAGGAGGAGAAAGGCTTATGTTAACATGGAGCTACGGAGTTAAACCTCCCAATAGTGTCACCTCGTGTGAGTGACATCCTCCCATTAGTGACATGAAACTGAATAACCATTAGTTTCTAATGTAAAATTTTATGCAATAATAACAGTACGTCACTATTGTTAATAGTGTCATTAGAATTTTCAATAGTGACTGTGTTGAGCTTTAATTGCTATCATAATTGTCACAGAAACACTTCACTGTTCACTTTGCAAAGTGTTGCAACGTGACGTGAACATGCAACGTGTCCAACGTTGGAACATAGGATGGGAACTCATGTATGAACCGTGGGCAACATCTGATTCCGAATCGAGTCTTTGCAGTCCTTTGGATCCAGAGTCTTGGTCAAGCACCACCCACAGTTGTGACATGTTCGTTTCTGCTCTTTTAAACATAAGACTGCCAACTGTGATTGCAATGGCAAGCCTAGAGCCCCTGCTGATGATGAGATAACAGATGTTCTTGGATTTGCTGGCTCGGGGTAGTCTCGTCGGTATCGGGTGTAGTCTCGTTGGTATCAGTGACGTGCAGCAGACATGAAATTTGTGGTGAAAGCATACGTCAAGCAGTCACTGTAGGAACAGGTATGTGAAAGAGAATGTGGTCAGTTCGAGTCATTTCGAGTTTATGAAATCACCAGCTCTATCTCGGTGCATGCAGGACACACGGCTTTCACGTGGAATGAAGTACAGTTTCTGTAGGTGAATTAATGATGATTCCAGTAAAAGGCTAACGTATTATTTTGCCAATCTCTAACATCAGAATCTGTACAAAGGACATATTCTCCATGCAATGTGCATCGCTCCTGCTTTTTAAATTTCCCAATCAGTCTAGGCTCTTCAGGTATTAACGTCACTAAGCTAGTAAAGCTCGTGAAGCCCAAGCTTTATCAAGTAATATACACTTTTAGACACAGCACTTGCAACGTGTCCAAAGTGAACATTCATCCACAAAATCTCACGTACATAATTGTACTGATCTCTGTACTAAACATCCATACTCATCATCACTGTGGTGTTAACATCTCGATATTCACGAATATGCAATATAGAAATTTTCATGGAGTTTCAAAAGACTAATTAGTTAGCAAGCAAGGTACACACATGGACACTGCTGAAAATTAAGTATATTGAATAATAGAAATACAATTTACAGTGTGATTGTCGACTGTCTCAACCTTCTAAATTTTTCAATGTTCTGTTGATGTATCAAAGGACGACGAGCTCTTTGGAGATTGGAAAGCAGCGTACTCTGTAATTCTGTAGATAAAAACGATTCGATGGAAAAAAAATTAATCAAGTCAGTGATTGCTTGATTCGCTTGTTCTACTGTCACCAAAGTCGAAATCTCACCAAAATCATCCTCATTCGAAGCACTATCACTGTGCAAGAGATTATGTTGCTCTAAAACCGATTTGACGATGCTAATATCGTCAATATAATCATCATCAGTATTATCAACAGCATCAAGGTCAATAAGCTCTTCAGCAACTACTTCTATACTTGAGTCATCAAGACCCAAGGACGCTGAAAAAGAATCGTTGAGTCGAATTTCTTGAAGAGTTTTCATCAAATCATCTAGAGCCTTATTTGAGCTGCTACTGTATCTATCTATATCCTGATTCGAAATTACGTTAGATACAAGAGGTAGACAGTTGGCTTTAACAAAACACCTTCGAATAGTATTTTCCTCTATACTATCCGATGCAGATTTTACCCAACCAAGTACATTCCGTAGATGGGTATGATCGTTGATCGGAAACTGAGAATAAGAAGCACGTTCACTCGCCTGCCACATCTCATACTCAGACATTAAATGATTAAGCTGAGCACGACGAAAATGAGCTTTAAAAGATCGTATGACACCTTGATCCAGAGGTTGACATTCACTAGTAGCATTTGGAGGAAAAAAAATGATACACAGCTTTTCAAACCTGAAAAATGAATCTGTTGATCCCGATGGGTCTAAAATCTTAGACGCACAAACGTGAGACGAACAGTTGTCTTGAAGTACGTAGAAGATGCAGTGTCTGTCCTTGGCAATTTTGTTGTACTTGTGAAGCAAACGCATGTAGGAAGATGTATCCTGCCAAGCTTTAGCTTGATGATCATAAATAATTCCAAACGCCTTACTTATGTCAGGAATACCTTTCAAAGCACGTGGACGAGCACTC